GTTTGTAAAATATATATATTTAATTTTTTTTTTGGAATTTTGTTTATTATGGTGGATCTAAAAACATACAAAATTTAATTTATAAATGTCTAAAACACAATATAAAAAGTTTGATAATTAAAATTCTATGTTTAGGGTAGCTCGAAGGCCTTTAAGATTGCAAAAAGTATAAAAGTTCATTTATTATAAACTTCTGGAATAACTTCGTTAATGGGTATGGACGGATGTAAATTATCTATATCAAATAGCAGCCGTGGCGCAGTGGTTAGAGTTTTGGCTCAGAACCCAGAGGTCTGAGGTTCGATGCCGGCTCCAGCCCAATAAGCGACATTGGTCAAGAAGGAGGAGTGAACTTCTAGTTAAATGCTCTTCTTCAGTACTTCGTGATTAGACCGTAAGGACTTCTGGGAGCACCTAAATAACAAAAAAAACAAACAAACTGAAACTTGAACTTCATTGGAATCTATTTTCGATTGCCTGGCTTTATTAACAAAACTATTCGAATTAATATGTCTATTATTGTTTTTGTTTAGTGTTGGTTGAAGGTTATTAATAAGGTATTCAGATGTTCCATTTGGTGGTGTGTTGATTTTTGATACAACAGGATGTATTGGGTAATCTTTTTCGGGTTTGTGCTTTAATCATTCCATATATTCTAGGTGGCACACAATCTGATGGATACATTTTAAATATGTAGTTGTGTCTAACTTACCATCTTTTCTTAATATACACAATCGTTTTTGAAATTTGGTAGTATGTGTGGGTGTTGGGTCATGATCAATAATTCTGCTATTTTTAATTTGTTCTTCTAATATAAGGGATGCATCCTTTTGGTATAGTAATGCAAAACCTGTGTTTTTATCAAAGGGATAAATCCTAATATCTAATTATTTCTTATAGATATACATTGTTGTTTATTTAAATTATTTTTTAATCTTAATATTAATGAGTTTATCAAAATTTTAGAACAGTTTTGTCTTGCCTGAGATTCTGCCTGTGTTGATTTATCCTGTTTTTCAAGTCGCAAAGCGCACATTTTAATAAATAAAGTCCAAATAAAGGGTTTTCTTCTGTAATGGCACAAACTTTAAACCTAGATTGAGTAATTCAGTTGTTGCTTTATCCAAAATAACTTTAGTTAAATTAATTATAGCAGGTTTAACAACTTGATTAGGAGGATCTATTCTAGGGGTATTTTTTACATTCGTTTTAGTTTGAAATTTATCGTATTTTTCTATCATTTTTTTTAGTTTTCTTCTCTATATAATGTTAATTTTTTGATTTTTTAGTTAATCTATTAATTAGTTCATAGTTGTTTAATCTTACTTTATTGTAAAGAAATATATTTAATTCATCAATTAATTTCTTACTTAAGTATAATCTGTGTTTTGCTTTGTTACAAGCATGAACTAATAGCTTGTTTCTGTATTCCTTCATTATGTTCTTTTTATTTTATCGATTTTTATTTTTTATACTTGATGACGCTGATCACAATAGATAACAAAATATCGAATAATATATATTAAAATAAAAATAAAAAAGCAAATGTATAATTGAATTTATCAAGATTATAATTTTTTTATCGATGTTTTTTTATAAAATAATTATTATTTTTGAAATTTTATATAATTTTGCTTTGTTTGAGACCCAACATGACATACTTTTGAAAAACCTTTTTTTAGTAATATTAGGGACTTATTTAATGTTTGAGGTTTGTTAATTTTTTAAATCTAGCATTTTTTTTATTATATACAATATATTCAGGGGTGCCAACAGTCATTTTCAAAAAAAGTTGTTTTTAGAACCTCCCTAATATATATATATATATATATATATATATATATATATATATATATATATATATATATATATATATATATATATATATAACATATACATAAACACACACACAAATATATGTATATATATATATATATATATATATATATATATATATATATATATATATATATATATATATATATATATATATATATATATATATATCAACAGGCTTGGTCAGGAAGCGGGAGTGATCGCTCTCGATTGCTGACCACGTAAATATTATTTAGTTGCGAAAAGCTGGCCAGATTTTTTAGTCGTTTTGAGAACATTTTAAAAAGCAAAAAATAAAGTGCAAAAGATTAATTGGACCGATGAGAGACAATTACAAAAAAAAAATAAAAAAATTAGGCAAATAAAATATCTTTAAATGTGAAAAAACTTAAAGCTAAATAAATTACGTTTAGAACAAATGTTTTCGAAATATCGTTCTTTTATAATTTTTTTTATAAAATTAAGCGATGTTTTTTATATAAAGTAACAACTTACGATTGTTTAAAAAGGAAACAAATATTCTTTATTTAACAATGTTTGCAAGTTTTAGTTTTATTTAAGCTAAATTATTTTATAAATAAAAAATTTATTTTTTTTAATACCTATTTTATGTTTTGCGTAGTTTGAAAAGTTAAACATATATGAAGCAATTCTTCTTAGTAAGGTAAACAAATAAAAAAATTAAATCATTGAATTACTATAGAAATTAAATTAATAAGATAGAAATCAACTAAAAAGGTTAAAAATACTTTATGACGAGGAAGCGAAATTGCTTCACAATATCGCTGATGATGTTTAGTGAGTAAACTTTTTAATTTTAATTAGTATTTAAAGCAGAAAAAAGTATAACGAGTTTTAAGAATGGCAACTTAAGCGAAAATAGTTAGAGTTAGTAAACCAATATCTAGAAACTTTTCTTTATATCTAATTATTTGCTATAAATATTTGTGTTCTGTCATACTTTTTAAATAAAAAATAAGAATATACTAATAAAATCTATAAATTATCATAAACTTTTAAAATTTTGACAATTTAATTAATATATATTTAAAACATTTTTTTTTGTAAACAAGTAATATATATTCTTAAAACAATTTATGCTAGAAATCTCAAAATGTAACAAATCGGGAATAATACAATTTCTAAAACAATTCAACAGAATACATGAGAACTTTATTTCGCTTAGTCAGCGTATTTTTTGAACCAATAGAATTGGTTTGTTCGTTAATTTGGCAGATTTTTAGTGTTCGCGAATATTCTTTTTAGTCTTTTCCACCAAGATATTTTGAGAACATTCAAGTTTTTTATGTTTCCATGTATGTCCGTAAAGTTTTTCGCAACTAAATATAATTTCAAGAATTATATTTAGTTATACTAAATATAATTTCAGTATTCAAGAGCGATCACTCCTGCTTCCTGACCAAGCCTGTATCAACCCTCGGAATTAGGAAAATTGAGGTCAGCAATAATTTGCTGATCTCAATCTTTTAGAGGTCGGTATCAGGTCGGCAAATGTAAAGGTCTTACCATAAAACATCAAAACGAGGTCGGCAAAACCAAATTTTTTTTGTTGACCGCAAACACGTTTAGGTTGGCAGTTAGGTTAGCATTGCCGAATGCTGACCCTAATTCCGAGGGTTGATATATATATATATATATATATATATATATATATATATATATATATATATATATATATATATATATATATATATATATATATATATATATATATATATATATATATATATATATATATATATATATATATATATATATATATATATATATATACTCTTGCATGTCTCTTGCGTGGCATCAAAAAATATTTCCCATAAACTGTAGTTTTAAAGAGCGCGTTAATAAACCAGACCAGAAAAAGTTTTAAAAATTAATCTTTTTTTTTTAATTGATAGACTGCCTGGCCAAACCAAACCCTCAGTCGATGTAGCAGCACTCTCTTGCGAGTCAGGCTATTAGTCAGTCGTTGTAGCAGCACTCCCTTGCAAGTCAGGCTATTTGTCAGTCGATGTAGCAGCATTCCCTTGCGAGTCAGGCTATTTGTCAGTCGATGTAGCAGCACTCCGTTGCGAGTCAGGCTATTTGTCAGTCGATTTAGCAGCACTCTGTTGCGAGTCAGGCTATTTGTCAGTCGATGTAGCAGCACTCCGTTGCGAGTCAGGCTATAAGATAGTCGATGTAGCAACATTTACGCATGTTTTAAAAATGTTTTTTTATTAAATCAATAACAAAAACACCACTAATTAAAAAAAACTTTCTAGTTGTTATAATTGCGGTTTTTTAAAAATTTTTTAAAAAACAATTAAATTTAGTGTACTTCCGCATAAATTAATTGCTTTGACATTTCGATGACAATCAAAAACAGCTTAAGAGACGAGGTAATTAAAATTGTAGTCGTAAGAGACTTTTTTTACATTAAAACGCTCTTTCGACTACACTATAAGGGTATATATATATATATATATATATATATATATATATATATATATATATATATATATATATATATATATATATATATATATATATATACTCTTGCATGGTAGTTGAAAAAAGTTTCCCATAAACTGTAGTTTTAAAGAGCGCGTTATTAAACCAGACCAGAAAAAGTTTAAAAACTTAAATTTTTTTTTTTTTTTCAAATGATAGACTGCCTGCCCAAACCAAACCCTCAGTCGATGTAGCAGCACTCCCTTGCGAGTCAGGCTATTTGTCAGTCGTTGTAGCAGCACTCCCTTGCGAGTCAGGCTATTTGTCAGTCGATGTAGCAGCACTCTGTTGCGAGTCAGGCTATTTGTCAGTCGATGTAGCAGCACTCCATTGCGAGTCAGGCTATTTGTCAGTCGATGTAGCAGCACTCTGTTGCGAGTCAGGCTATAAGATAGTCGATGTAGCAACATTTACGCATGTTTTAAAAATGTTTTATAATAAAATAAAAACAAAAACATCACTAATAAAAAAAAACTTTTTAGTCGTTATAATTGCGGTTTTTTAAAAAATTTTTAAAAAACAATAAAATTTAATGTACTTCCGCATTAATTTAATTGCTTTGACATTTCGACGACAATCAAATACAGCTTAAGAGACGAGGTAATTAAAATTGTAGTCGTAAGAGACTTTTTTTACATTAAAACGCTCTATAC